CTGCATCCCAGACGGCGAAAGTGCGCTTCGCGTAGATGGCACGAACGACCTGGACGAACTGGTCGGGACGCCAAAACGTTCCAAGGAGACGCAAAGTGAATCGGGCGAGACGCTGTCGAACGCCTTTGCCCAGCCTAGAACGAACAATAGCAGCCTTCCGCTCTTCTCCGCCAGTGCGCTCAAGTAGCCGGCGCACCAGAAAGATGGCGTTGGCCGTCCCGTGCTGGCGCTTGAAGCCGAATTGTGTGGCCCGCACGCGTTTTTCGGCGCCACCGTTTATCAAGCGGTTCAGAAGGATAGCAGTCAATATCCTGTACCCGACCGAGAGCAGCGAGACTGGGCGGTAATTGTCGCATTTTGCCACAGCACCTTTCTGGAAGTTTACTGCGACCAGAGCTTCGCGATCCCGCCAGCACTTGTTGCACAGAGCCACCGCCCACCAGCACGCCTCCGTGACTCGAGTGCACACGGCCTTCCAGAACTCCGCCGGGACGTCGTCCGTGCCAGTTGCTTTCCCCGCATTGAGTTCGGCGGCAGCTCTCACGACCTCGCCTACTGTGATGTTCTGGCACGACACCAGCAGGGCGGCTCCCAGGCTGCCCGGGAAAATGGCCGCGGCGGTTGGCCGGACAGCCCATCGGATCCTGCTGAAATATTCCGCCAGCGCGTCGGCGCGAGCGTTCGCGTCGACCAGCTCTCCGCCCAGATTCTGGAGACGGCCTTGTCGAGAAGCACCGCCTTTCCGGGGCTGTCGGATCTGCGTCCCACCCCTTGCTGCTAAGTTATCTTCCAACCATCGCGTCTTGTCCGCCTTGACGGAAGCTTTCACTCGCTGGGTGGGGGGGCACGTATTGAGCGGGCGTCGTTCCGCTCCCGAATGACTGACAGCGTTTACCCCGATATCCAGGGCCGCTTCGGCTGGAGCGCTGCCTCCGGTAGGCAACGGTCCGCGGCGTCACGGGATGCTAGTATCATCCTCTCGTTGAGCTGGTGGAGTGCGACATTCTCTCTGGAGTAATGTGAGATCTTTCGTTCAGCGAAAAGCTCGTTGAAGGAGTTCGCCAAAGTTGATTCTCGCAGTGCCGAAATTATCCCAGGGCGACCCTACCTAGGAGTTGGAGCATCTAGGAAAGCAACATCTACATCTACACCGACAGCTACATTAACATCTACACATGCATCTACATCAGCATCTACATATATGCTAGGCTATGCTATGATATGCTATGATCCGCTATGCTATGCTATGCTGCGCTATGCTATGCTATGCTGCGCTGTGCTATGCCAAACTAAGCTATGCTATGCTATGCTGTGCTATGCTGCGCTATGCTATGCTATGTTGTGCTATGCTGCGTTATGCTATGCTGCGCTCTGATATGCTATGCTATGCTATGGTTTGTCATGCTATGTTATGAAATGCTGATGCTGTGCTATGCTAAGCTGAGCTAAGCTAGCCTAGGTTAAGCTAGGCTAAGCTAAGCTAAGCTAAGCTAGGCGAGGCTAAGCTAAGCTAGGCTAAGCTAAGATGAGATAAGCAACGCTAAGCTATGGGGCCGCAACTCGGGGAACCGCGGGGCGGATCCTGGGGGAACCGCCCAGGGCGTGGAACACTGCCCGGCCCTTTAAGCCAACACGGTAAGAACCCTTCTAGGCAAAGCCTAGCTAGGGAATATGCCTTCGCGTCGTCGGCGCTGACGGCGTCGCCTTTTGCATGTCAACCTGCAGTTGAGTTTGCACAAGAGAGTGGTGCGAAGCCAGCGCCGCTGTTCGATCACTCCATACTCGCTTGACTTAATCCTTCCGCTCCGCACTGACGAGGATGAAATTGATCTGGCCGAAATGCCGCTCGATGCTCGATCAGCGGGTCCGCCAGCGACGAACTGACATTGTAGCACGTGGTTATTCTCCCCACTGGCTCGTCGAGCATGGTGTTCCCGATGTGCAATTCCTCGAGACACAGACTTCGAGCAAGAAGGAACGATTCGACACCAGACTGTGCTCCGCGTGCGGACAAAGACGTGTTCCCCCAGCGTTGGCTCCTCCCCTGGGCGGCGGCGGTGAAGACGGGCACCGAGATCCTCACAAAGAAACACCGGCCCATGACAGGACAGCGTCCAGAGGAAACGGTCCAGCTCTTGGAAGAAGTCGCGCGGCGGAGGAGGCGGAGGAGGAGGGGGAGGAGGAGGAGGAGGAGCAGGAGGAGGAGGAGGAGGAGGAGGAGGAGGAGGAGGAGCGCCCCCTCATTGATCGCCCGGCCGTGAAGCAGCGCCCCAAAAGAGCGGTTTGCTGGGGCCTGAGGGGGGCCTGGCGGCGGCGGGCGTTTCGAAGAATCGGGGGCGGCCACGAGGAGGTCGATGGCTCCTGGGGTCGGCGCGGGCATGGTTCGGGCCGAACGAAAGGGGGGGATTGGGAAAGGGGGGTTACGAAATTTGATGCATCGGCTTGCCACTGAGCGGGGCGTGCGCGCTGCAGACGACAGTCTTGTCGCGCGCGACGCGAAGTTTCAGCGAAGCCATGCTGGACGAAGCCTGTTCGAATCCAGTGATGCTGCGCCGTGCCGCGGGTGAGACCAGAAATCCCACGCCCACCGTCTCCTCAACCGCGCGCAGAGGGAGGTGGGGGGAGGGGGAGGGCTTCTTAGAAGCACCCCTGCTTCTTAGAAGGCGCGGGCCTTATCTATCGATGTAAGGCTGGCGCCTTCTAAGAAGCAGCCTGCTTCTAAGAAGCCCTCCCCCCTCCCCCCACCCCCTTGTGCGCGCCGCCAATCCAGTGATGCTGCGCCGTGCCGCGGGTGAGACCAGAAATCCCACGCCCACCGTCTCCGTCGCTTCGTCTTCCACCGTTCCCGAGAAGATTCGCCAGAAGCCAGCTTCTGCGACGCGATGTTACGAGAACGTCTGGTGTGCTTCTCGCGAACATAGTAGATATCAATCTCTCTCTCTCTCTCTCTCTCTCTATCAACCATATGCTTAGAAAATCCAGGGTTCTTCGCTAGAGACTGGCTTCCTCCCAAAACGACGAAAACCCTCCCGAAACCCTCCGGGAACCCTTCCCAGAGGGTTTTCGGAGTGTTTCGGGAGGGCTGCGGCTGCTTTGGCAAGAGGCCAGTCCCTGGCGAAACCTGGACCTTCTAACCACATTCGGGCCGAACGAAAGGTGGGGATAGGGAAAGGGGGGGTTACGAAATCTGCTGCACGCAGCTGGTTTCGGCCCCGCCTCCGGGCCCATTCCTCGATACATGAGCGCCTCCCGACTCCGGGAGGCGCCGGGAAAATCAGCTACGTGAGCTGATTCTCAAACCCCTTTTTTGCTGTCCCCCCCTTTCGCCCGGCCCGATCCTCACCAGTTTCGTCGCAGTGGAGCCTTCCACGCTCCAGGTGCCCAGCCGGAGGCTCGAGCCGGATGCCGCGAGACTTGGCATCGCTCGGACGTGTGCACTTGTCCTTCGGCGAGGACAATCGAGGAGCATCCTTGATCATTTGGGGGGGAGGGGGAAAAAAAAACAAAAAAAAAAAAAATCAAAAAAAAAAAAAAAAAAAAAAAAAAAAAAAAAAAAAAAAAAAAAAAAAAAAAAAAAAAAAAAAAAAAAAAAAAAAAAAACGCACGAAGCCGAAGAGAGCACAGGGAACGGACGTCCGGGCGATGGCGAGGAGAGCCTCCCGCCTCGGAAGAGCGCCGCGCCCCGGCGCGAGCTCGCCCGCTCACCCCCGGAGCTGCCCGCGGCCGCGTCGGCCGCGGGTACAGTCGGGCCCCTGGAGAGGGAGCCACTTTCGTTGGGGAAGGGCTCAGTGCTCCTTAACCGTTTGATCGGGGCTGGACAGACCTCCTACCCTGACACGTCGATTGAGGAATTGGCCGTTTTCGGTTCGCGAGAGGGCGTCGCGGCCGCCATTTTTGCGGGTCCAGGTCCGTCGGTTTCGGTCCCAGGCCGTTTTCACTAAGGGGAGGTCTATTAAAGGGAGGTTTGTCCGCCGCCGATTTGACAGCTTGTATGATGTTTTCCTTAGGTCTTCGCTGGGAGATCAGAGTTCCACTTCTGGGAAAAAGGGATTTGGGGTTCCTCGCAGTAGGTCAACGCCCAGAACTGTAAGCCGGAGCCCCTGCAGGAGTCGCTCCGCGCGGATTTTTTGGATCCGCGTTGGGCCCCCTTGGCGGCGCCTCCGGCGCCGCCCCTGGCGCGCTCCGCGCGCCAGGGAAGGGGGTCCAGCGCGGATCCAAGAAATCCGCGCGCAGCGCCACAAGTTTATGTGTATGCCGCTTTTTCTATTTCTATAGGTGCAGTACTGCCGACTGCGGGTGAAACACTGTGCTCATGTGCGGTATTGCTTGATATAGGGCTGCCTGCCCCTGGGCAGGAGCCCCTTGGAACCGCCCTTCGCTTGGCCTCTCACGCCGGCTGCCGCCAACTTCGCTCGAACTTGACCCAGACCCCTCCCGAGGCCAAAACTGACCTGTCCTGCCGAGTCGCGCCCAGCCGTGGGGGCCTTCCTCCCCACCTCCTCTCCTGGCCCCGAGCCGGCGCTGGGCGCCGAGCTCCGAGAGGTTGTGCCTGAGCCGTCGCTTGTGTTACTCTACCAGGGGCCCATGCCTCCTCCTCCTACCTCCCTCCTCCTCTCCTCCTCCCTCCTCTCTCTCCTCCTCTCCTCCTCCTCCTCCTCCTCCTCCTCCTCCTCCTCCTCCTCCTCCTCCTCCTCCTCCTCCTCCCGTTCCCTCGGCCAATCGCGAGCATCACGAAGACTCAGCACCAGAGCCCCATATCAAGGGCAGAACAACCGCCCCTGCCCCGGTTTACGAGGCGCTGTGCGCTGAAGCTCCTGTGGGTTCGACAGGGTAAGCCATGCGTGGTGTGCCGCGTTCTGGCGTCTCTAGGCTTTGGGGCTTCCAGGAGGTTTACAGGCCGCGCACTTGTAACCCAGGGTAGGGTCGTTTTTCCATCCCTCAACTATAGACCCCATAGTTTCTTTTGTTGCGGCACTGTTCGGGCCGGGGCCCGAAGCCAGGCGACCACGCTCGGCGTGAAGACGCTGCAGCGCTCGGCTCTGAGGGGACCTCCACGAGTTTACGCGCTTCTGCCCTGGAGCCGTGCGCGTGTGTTTGAGGTGGCCCGGCAGTGGTTCTGGCCCGCAGGGAGCGGGGGGGGGAAAGAGGGGGGTGATGACTAGGGGGGGGGTGGATATCATGGCGGGGGCCATGATATTTCCCCAGATTTCGTGGCGCCTCTTCTTGTTTCATTACGTCCCTGGCCCCCCCGCTGGGCCGCGCACATGCCGCCGGTCATGATTTGCACCCCCCCCTCTTGGACACCCCCCTCTTGGCCGCTCCCGAAGGGAGCGGGGGGGGGAAGGTGTTCTGGCTTCGCAGAGGCGTGTTTGCCTGTTTCGGCATCTGCGGCCGCTTTCGGGCCCAGGGACCGTCAAAAGCGGAAAATCCGAGCGAAGAGCTGCACCACACGGACCCCAGGAGGGATCCCGAGAGTTGTTTGGAGCACATCCTGGCCCCATCCCCCCCCCCCGTGCTGACCGATCTTCTCGGGCCCCAGCCAGCTGAGACCCCCCGGCCACGTCCAGTGCACACCGTTGATTGCTTCTTCACTGCAGCGAGGCTGCTGAAACAAGGACCGCTCTGGGCTCCAAATGGGTCGGGGGTGGATAGACCTCCTACCCTGACACTTCAATTAGTGAATTGGCCGTTCGCGGTTCGCGAGTGGGCGTCGCGGCCGTCATTTTTGCGGGTCCGGGTCCGTCGGTTTCGGGCCCGGGCCGTTTTCACGAAGGGGAGGTTAAGTAAAGGGAGGTTTGTCCACCGCCGAGGTTACTCGGGGGAGGAGAGGGAACTCATCGGCCGTTGAGTGCCGACGGGTACCGATGCCGCTGCCCTTCCCTCGTCTCGGGGCTCAAGGGAGGGGGGTCAGTGCAAGCGGGGGTCAGCCACAGCGCGGGATCTTGCAGGATCCTGCAGAGAACAGGGCGCAGGATCCCGCAGGATGCTGCGGGTCCTGCAGGGCCCGACTGACCCCAGGTTTGGACTGGCCAGGGTCAGCAGATCCCCTCCTCCTCCTCCTCCTCCCCTCCTCCTCCTCCTCCTCATCCTCCTCCTCCTCCTCCGCCTCCTCCTCCCCTCCTCCTCCTCCCCCTCCTCCCCTCTCCCCCTCCTCCCCCTCCTCCTCTCCTCCTCTCCTCCTCCTCCTCCTCCTCAGCGCCGCCCCCACGGACCACCCGAGGGCCCCGAGTGGCCCTCCGCTTCCAGCGGGGGCGGGGGCCGTTGGCAGAGCACAGCTGGCCCCTTCAGCCGCAGCTCTGGCGGCAGACCGATCTCGGGCGTCTCGGTGCTCCAGGCGAGCGCTCTCCTGATCTTTTCCGTTCGGATCGTGTGCTTCCCAGCTTCGTAGCGTAGCCTGCCTACAGTGCCGTTTTTGATACATGCTCCGCGTGCGGAACATGTATTAAAAATGCAGGGATTTAGCATTCGAAACAACGATGAGTTCATGTATAAATTCATTCATAAATTAGTCATGGATTAAAATCCTATAGTTGTAAAAATCCTATGTATTAAAACCTGCCCTGTACAGTGGGGTGGGGGGGGGCTGGGAGCATTGAAAAAACACGCGTGAAGCTCGTGCCCCCCCCCCCCAGCCCGAAGTGCGGGCCCTCGGGCCGGCCGGGGTGGGGTGGTCTGGTACTTGGGTAGTCACTTGGGGCCGCCGAGCAGGGGGGCGGCTGGGAACGTCGAAAAAACACTCGTCACCGAGCGCGCTCCACTGCTCGCAGAGTGCCTCCTCGCAAGCGCCCGCAAGAAAACGCGTGCCTGCCTCGATATGCAGACTACCATCGTACATCCCCCGCGGCGGATCCAGGCGACCTGCGAGTAGAGCCGCCTCGCGAGTAGTGGAACGCGCTCGCCTCATGAAGCTCGTGCCCCCCCCCCAAGCCCCGTCGAGCAGGGCGGCGCGGCCCCCGCCCGCGGCGCCCGCGGCGGCGGCGGCAGGGGCGGCCGGCGCGTGTCGTTCGCGGCGGGCGCGCCGGGCTGCGGCGAGCGCCGGGGAGCAAGAGCCCGGCTCTCCGAGGAGGATCTCCGCTGTCCTGAGATTCTCGGGCTGGCCGAAAGGGGGGGCGGGGGGGGGGGGATTGGGAAGGGGGGGGGTACGAAATTTGCTGCATGCGGCTGGTATCGGCCTCACCGAGGGGCCCATTCCTCCATACGTAGCTCCATCCGGCACCGGGAGGCGCCGGGAAAATCAGCTACATGAGCTGATTCTCAATCCCCCCCGTTGCTATCCTCCCCTTTCGCCCGACCCGAGAGGAAGAGGGTACCCATGCCGCTACCCTTAATTCGGGCTTATCCCTCTACCGGAAGAACATTCAAAGACAGTGAAGAAAGAGTCGGTGGACGATTTTTGTTTGACTATTCTTGGCCACTTCGAGCATTTTCGGAGCAGTTTTATGTTACGTCCAGAGAATCCGCCTGTAGGGGGACACGCCCGACCTGACGCTACCCTTCCCTCGGTTTCCCCTGTGTGGGCCTCCCGGGGGCCCCTCGTCGCCGCCGCTGGGTTCGCCTCGGGATTTGGGTCGGAGCGCACCCCGGGAGAGGTCCGGGGAGTAGCAGTATCAGTACCTTTTTTTGTCAGGAGGGGAAAAAACACACAGACACAATTAATCGTCGATCCCCAGGAAAATATTGGAAAATATGGGAAGTGGTGGGGAAGACAAAAACCCAGAAAATATGGAAAGATATAGGGGATATTTTTATTTGTGTGTATTTATTTGTGTGTTCTGGGGCCCCTTGATTTTGATTTCCCCAGAGATGCGTACGTCGAGCAACAAAGGAACAAACGGTTTCAGCTGCGCCGGCATTCGCGCGCAAGGCGTGCCGCGCCGGCGTTTCGCGGAAGCCGCCGCGTAAGGTCGCCATGTCACGCGTAGAATCCATTCATGCCGTTTCGTCGCCCAAGTGTTGAAACGCAGCACGCACCGTTTCAGCACGTCTCTCACGCACGTGTTGGCCCACGTGTTGGCGAGCGTATGGCGCCAGATCTGCGTTTGGAGATCTGCGTGTCGAGCTCCGTGCCAGCACGGTCTGGGCTGCGTGCTGCGTGTCGGGGCAGTTGCGCCGAGCTTGTGATTGGTTCTCGATTCTGGCATGCGGTGGTCTCCCTCCATCCCCGCCCTTCAGTCCTGGCGGCACTCCTCGACATGAGTGCTTCGGTCCCGGTGGTTTCCTTTGATCCCGGCCTTCGGGGGCCGTTCGCGAGCCCCGGGGAGATGGATCCGGAACGAAAGGCTACCCCCTGGGGAACGGGTCGGGACCGCTTGGGCCGCGCCTCGGAAAAATCATATCGTCGGAGGTCTTCTGGGCCTCCCAGATGGGTTCCGAGTAGATGGGGGCGGAGGATCGCGCCGCATCGGCGATGCATTGTCGATGCGACTCGATGTGGAGTCCGATTTTCTCCACGCCGACGGCGCCGATGCGTCGCTGACGTCGCCAATGCATCTCCCATACATCCATCGGCGATGCATCGACGATGCTTCGGCGGTGCGGCGCGACCCTCCGACCCCATCTACACCTTAGGCGATGCTTAAGAAAACTTAAAGTTTCGGCCAGAGTCTCGATTATTCTCAATGTTTCAATGTAAATCCTAAGATTTGAATAGAAATTTTGGGCTTTTATTCAAGTTCTGAGACTATGAATTTCTTAACCCATGATTTCTTAAGCATTTCGCAGGGTGTACTTCGACCCCATGTTGGAGGCCCCTCGACCAGGTCCTGAAGGTTCTTCGCCGTTTTTGGGGCTCGGGGTGCCGCCTGCTCGAAGGAGCATAAAACACTGAATTTCCGAGCTCCGCGCGGATTTTCTTGGATCTGCGCTGGAACGGCGCCTCTGGCGCCGCCCCTGGCGCGCTCCGAGCGCCAGGGAGGGGGCTGCAGTGCAGATCCAAGAAATCCGCGCGGAGCTCCGAAAGTCTATGCTCAAGCTTCTGTTTGCGCTTCTACTCACGAGCCCCAGGGCTGTCAGAAAACTACTCGGGACGAAGAGCTGTTCCTGGGGGAGGCCCAGGGCCTGGGGTCCAGGACCAGTTTCCCTCAGGGCCCGTTTCTCGGACGGGGCTACGACAGAGACAGAGCGTTCCAGAGCGTTCTGGAACACTCCCAGAGCACTTCGGAACGCACGGAGAAGGCCGCGGCGCTGGGCACACACTCCAGAACCGCCGGATCTCCGAGATCCCAGACTTCTCCCTGTCCGATGTTGTCCTTTCCCGGGCCTCGTCTCCGACTGCTGCATGCCAAGGCGAGTCGGGCGACCCGCTGCGGCGCGACGCGATCTCCTTCGGCAGCGAGTTCCAGGGCCTCCTGGGGGGCGACCTCGCGCTGGGCACGGGGGACAAGCTGTGGGAGCGCCGCAGGAGCCGGGGTGCCAGTCAAGCGATTGACGGCTTGAGAAGCCTACCTTCGGAGGATCGAAAGAGCGCGTGCTGTGGGCACTGGTAAGGGGGTGGTCGAACGGGGGGAGGGGGGGGGGCCTGAAATGCAAGGCGGGGGCTCGAACTGACCAGCCCCCGCTCAAAGGGGGGGGGGATTCAAGCCGGTGGGGGAGTCCCTGAGTTGAGGCGTGGGGGGTTCGAACGGGGGTGGGGCCCCCCCCTCCCCTTCCCTGGTGGCAGCCGACGACGGTAAGCGTTTGCGCCGGCGCCAGAGCCGTCAGGCAACGACGACGACGACGACGACGACGACGACGACGACGACGACGACGACCGATCTTTGGTAGAATGTTATCAGGGCGGCTGGATCGAGCCCTAGTACGTTTCTATGTAAGATGGACCAAGCCCCAGTAGGGTTAAATTGGAGTTGGATCTAGCTATAGTAGGATTCTATGTGAGGTGGACCGAGCTGTTGTAGGATCCAAGTAGAGCTGGATCCAGCTATAGTAGAATTACACTAGAGTTGGATCCAGCTGTAGTGGGATATGATAAGAGATGGGTCGAGAATTAGTATAACTCGAATAGAATTAGTATAGCTCGATCCAACTCAATTAGAGTTGGATCGAGCCCGACTTGGATGAAATTCAAGCTAGGTCCAAGAATTCCTTCAGAGCTTGATAAAGCACTGATAGGATGCTATCAGCGGGAGGTGTGGGGCGGATCTACCCCCCCCCCTTTGGACAGCCCCCCCCCCGGTTCGAACGCCCCCCCGCTCCGTGGACGAGGGGAGGGGGGAGCCCTCCCCGGTTGGAGAGGCCGGCGTCCGAGGGGGGGGGGGGGGGGGCGGGGCGGTTCCAATTTGTCCAGGGAATTGTTCTAAGCAAGCGTACACGAAACGCGTTCCCTCCCGCTTTCACAGCAGCCACCCCGGATGGTGCGCTGCCGTCTGAGGCTCTCGGGGCTGATGGCCTCCGCGTGGGGCGCGCTTCCACTCTCTCTCTCCTCCTCCCCTCCTGTTTGCCTGCACGGAGCTGCTAGGTCCACAAGCCTAGCGAGCACAACGGTGACTTTTTGAGGAGGGCTTCTATCAAAGGGGAGAGAGGAGCGATGCCGCCGTTTTCACGGCGATGCCATTACCTAGATGCTGTTATGCTTGCTGTTATACCTGGGGACGAAGCCCGACAGCATAGTTTCTGACCATTCGAGCAAAGTTCCTTGTCGGCGTCGCCGCAGATGTGGCCCACTTGAGGCATACATCGACTGCCCAACAACGGCCGCTGTCGGCGTTGGTCAACGCTTGATGTTGGGCATCGTACCCATGCGCTCCTTGGTCTTAAGTCGGGCCTGTCCCTCTACAGGAGGAATATCCAAATAGTCCAAAAATAGGTTGGTGATTATTGTTTGAGTATGTTGGTGCATTGTTGGAATATGTTTTGGACATGTTTATTGTTTCGTCTACAATCTGCCTCTAGGGGGGCACGCCCGACCTAGCCTTACCCGTTTCGGGCGTGCGAGAGGAAGAGCATGGCAGAGCGCTTGAGGCGGCTGTCCGAGATCCAGGGCCCCCCCGAGATGATCTCGCAGCTCCTGAAGAAGCAGGGCGAGAATATCCAGCTGAGCACGCAGCTCCGGAACTCAGCCACGCGCAGAGGGGGGTGGGGGGAGGAGGGAGGACTCCTCAGAAGCACCCCTGCCTCTTAGAAGCCGCGGGCCTTGTCTATAGATGAAAGGCCAGCGCCTTCTAAGAGGCAGCCTCCTTCTGAGGAGCCCTCCCCGCTCCCCCTACCCCCCTTCTGCGCGCCGCCGAGGAACTACGAGTACCTCATAAACAAGATGCGGAAGAACATACCGCTCACGAACAGGGACCTCAGGCTGATCGAGGCCATGCTGAACCTGGACGACTGCGGCAACGCGGAGCTGAAGGAGGACGTGGCGGCGGCCAGGCGGCGCGTGCGGCACCTGCAGAGGGTGCTGAGGGAGAAGCGGCAGGCCTGGCGCAGCACCGACGGCGTCATGCAGCTGCCGCGCGGCAAGAGCGTGAAGGTGCTGACGCACGCCAGCCGCGAGCAGGAGCGCGTCGGCGCCGCGAAGGCTGAAGGGGCCCCAGGACACACAAATGAATACACACAGCTAAGAATATATTCCCCATAGTTTCCCATGGTTGGGGGTGTTTTGCCTCCCCCCCCCCCCCAGTTCCCATATTTTCCCATATCTCCTCCGGGGATCGACGATTCCTCGCGTCTGTGTGTGCTTTGTCCCCCCCCTGGAAAGGCCACCAGCGCGGCGCAGTGGCTCGCCGGGCGTGGCGGCGCCGGGCCCGCCGCGGCGCCCGGCGCCCCTCGGCCGGGAGCGCGCGGGGCCGGGGAGGTGCTGCGCACCCTGCGGGGCCTGAGCCCCTCCCCCGCCAGCGTGGTGGAGCGGCGCCGCGGGGGCCGCGGGAGCGCTGGGCATCGCTCGGACGTGGACCATCTCTTCCCTCGGCGAGGGGACCATGGAGGAGAGCATCCCTGATCGCGTGGCGAGGAGGCCAGGCACGAGGCCGACAGAAAAAAAACAACAAAAAAAACACGGAGAGAATGGGCGGCCGAGCGGTGGCCAGAGCGGCACGTGAGCACAACATGGAGCTGCTCTGGAGGTCCGCGCGGGCCGCTCGGCTCCGCGCGGGGCGGGGGCCCCGGGCGGCGGCGCCCCCAGCGCACTCCGCGCGCCAGGGAGGGGGGGGGGGGGTCCAGCGTGAAGTCGGGCGTGCCCCTCTGCAGGGGGAAGATACAGAAACAGTCCAGAAATAGTCTGGGGGCGATTTTCTTCTACTGTTTTTGATTACTTCAGGGGGTATTATATATAATATGAATAGATAAGTAAATAAATAAATAAATTATATATATATAATAAGATTTTATTTTATTTTATTTGTTTTTTTAATTCTATAAAAAAAAAAAAAAAAAAAAAAAAAAAAAAAAAAAAAAAAAAAAAAAAAAAAAAAAAAAAAAAAAAAAAAAAAAAAAAAAAAAAAAAAACGCGAAATCTCCCTGTAGGGGGACACGCCCGACTTGAGTCCAGCGCCGTTCCGAGACGTCCGCGCGGAGCTCCGGTGTCTCTTGTGGCTGCGCCGTGCCGCCCTCTGCCCCTCGGGAGGCGCAGCAGCGCGCTGCCGGCGAGCTGGGCCGGCCCGCTCGCGCTGCCGGCGAGCGGGGCCCCGCACGCGAGCCCGCCCACGATGATGGTCCCGCTGGCGGAGGTCGGGGGCCATGCCAGGGTTCTGCTGTCCCAACCTACTTTCTAGCCTTGTCCTCCAGAAAGAATTGCGAGCGCCAAACATGTGCCGAAGCTCTAGGGTTTTCACGTGTCGGGCCCTGGGAGAGACACTCGCCCGACACTCTTTCGACACTCTTTCGACACTTTTCCGGGTGCTCGAGATTATTTCTGGGACATGGTCCTCAAGTACGATTGGAGCAACATAATGCTAGGGGAGGGGGCGCATCGACCCCCCAATCGCCCACGCCTCGCCCACAGGAGCCCGAGAGCCCACGCCTCCCCAGAGCGCGCGGCTTCGCGATCCTGGGCACGTCGCCGATGCATCGGCGACGTGTCGCCGATGCCGGCTCGACGTGTGCCTTCTTGAGGTGCCGGATGTTGCCAGAGGTGCCCCGTGGCCCAAGCTGCCCCAAGGATCTCCATCCTCCTCCTCCTTATCCGTCCTCCTCCCTCATCCTCCTCATCCGCCTCCTCCTCTTTCCTTCCCTCCTCCGCCTCCTATCCTCCCTCCCTCCGCTCTCCTCCTCCTCGCCTCTCATACTCCTCCATCACACAGGCCCAGAGGGCCCCAGGGGCTTCAGAGTGCAGCGAAGGGCCAGGGGCACCTTGGGCCCGAGGCACCTTTCGCAAACCCCGAGGGATGCGCCCGTCGAACGACGAGGGAAAGCGGGTCTGCGCCGACCGTCGCGCGAGCCTCCCGCGGAGGGTCGAGCGCAGGATCGCGCGTGAGCGCCCCCGTTTCCAATGGGGCGTGCCGCGCTGGCGGCCCGCGGAAACCAGCGAGTAAGGCGCAAGCCGGGCTCCCCCTGACCCTGGCATCCCTCGGACGTGTGTGCGTGTGTGCGTGTGTGCGTGTGTGCGTGTGTGCGTGTGTGCGTGTGTGCGTGTGTGCGTGTGTGCGTGTGTGCGTGTGTGCGTGTGTGCGTGCGTGCGTGCGTGCGTGCGTGCGTGCGTGCGTGCGTGGGTGGGTGGGTGCGTGCGTGCGTGAGTGGGTGGGTGGGTGCGTGCGTGCGTGCGTGCGTGCGTGGGTGGGTGGGTGGGTGGGTGTGTGTGGGTGCGTGTGTGTGTGTGTGTTTGTGTGTGTTTGTGTGTGTTTGTGTGTGTTTGTGTGTGTTTGTGTGTGTTTGTGTGTGTTTGTGTGTGTTTGTGTGTGTGTGTGTTTGTGTGTGTTTGTGTGTGTTTGTGTGTGTTTGTGTGTGTGTTTGTGTGTGTGTTTGTGTGTGTGTTTGTGTGTGTGTGTGTGTTTGTGTGTGTGGTTGTGTGTGTGTTTGTGTGTGTGTTTGTGTGTGTTTGTGTGTGTTTGTGTGTGGGTGTTTGTGTGTGTGTGTTTGTGTGTGTGTTTGTGTGTGTTTGTATGTGTTTGTGTGTGTGCTTGTGTGTGCTTGTGTGTGTTTGTGTGTGTTAGTGTGTGTTTGTGTGTGTTTGTGTGTGTGTGTGTTTGTGTGTGTTTGTGTGTGTTTTCTCGGCGAGGACCCTCGAGGAACATCCTGGATCATCGAGCGAGAAAAAAACTATTAAAAAACACCCCCCCCCCCCAAAAAAAAAAAAAACAAAAAAAAAAAAAAAACAGATTCTTGGACATTCATCGAGCAAAAAAAAAAACAAAAAAAAAAAAAAAAAAAAAAAAAAAAAAAAAAAAAAAAAAAAAAAAAAAAAAAAAAAAAAAAAAAAAAAAAAAAAAAAAAAAAAAAAAAAAAAAAAAAAAAAAAAAACGCACGGAGCCGAAAAATACGCACGGGAAATGGGCGCCCGCGCGACGGCAAGTGGCCGCTCCCCCCCGCGAGGAGGCCGCCGCGCCGCGGCGCCCCCGCGCGACCTTCCGGGCGGTGCAGCGCGCCGCCCGCGCCGCCCTGGCCTGGCGGCGCGGGGCCTCCGCGGCGCGGCCCCCCAGCGCGCAGGCGCGGGGCGGCCTGCAGCTGGCGGGGCTCGGCGGCGGACCGCGGGCGGCCAGACGTAAGAGGTGGCCTTTCGCCGGAGTGACCTTCGCCGGGGAGCATCCTTGATAATTTCGCGAAAAAGCCACGCACGAAACCGAAAAAAACACATGGAATGGACGTCCGAGCGATGGCCAGTGCTTGCCCGCCTTAAAGCGCACGCGCTTGTTCGCGAGCCTCGAGACGGGGGTCAATGCAAACAGTCGGGGGTGGACAGAACCCCCCACAGTGACACGTCGATTCGTGCATTGTCCGTTTTCTCGGTTCTCGAGAGGGCGCCGTGGCCATCCTTTTCGAGGCTTGCGCCCGCCAGGTTTGGGCCGCAGGTCGTTTTCACTGAGCCACGTTTTACGAAAGGGTGGTCTGTCCATCCCCCGATTGGTGCGGGCACAGGTGGGCCCCCAGATGGCTGAAGGCGGAGCAGGAGCAGCGGCTTGCGCGCCCAGGTCTGGTCCCCCCCCCGCGCACGAAAGGTCACTCTTGCCCAGGGTCACTCTTGCGTGTGGCCGA